GAGTGAGCAGTAGGCAACCGACAAAATGGTATTAGCTAACTTATTACACCCTCTGACTAACATCAGACTGGCTAGTTTGCATCCGTGAGTTTACCGCAAACCCGGGGTGCATATCTCTGAGCGGCATTGGGTCCCTGATGAACGAATAATTGACAGTATGGGATTTACAGAATACTCAAATATCTAAATTAATAAACAATCGATATATGTGATCAGCTTTTGATTAGAAATATTAATAATTTAATGATCACGTGAAATTGGAGTCAGATTGAAAACGAAGCTAGACAAAATTTAAACTAAGTTCTGATAAATTCAGAAGCGCAAGTAAAAGACCGAATACGCATTAAACCTTCAACCAGGCCGCTGGATTCCGCTTTTTGGGCTGGCCGGTGGGTCCTTACATGTGTGTCTGTTCAGGTTAATGAATAATGAAGACCGTTGGGTCTTCTGTGCCAGGAGTCAGAGGTAACGGGCAGCATGGAGTAGTGTGTGTAATTCAGTCCTGCCTCGTTCGACTGTCTGTGTGTCTGTGTCTGTCTGTATCTCAATAGAGCACAACAGTAGGGTTCTGCTTGTAAAAATCCCATTCAAATTCTCCTTTAGAGAGTAACGTAGGCTAGACACATTTCAACACAGACCAGCATTGTCTACAAGAATGTTGAAGTCAATATGAAATCAAACCTATTTACTTTATTAATAATTCATGTTCCTGATCTTATCATGAAGGATTCGCAAGTGTACATTATAACAAAGAAATAAATGTGTCTTTATAATCTTTTATTAATATGTAATAACTTGCTCCACCTCTAAAATGGCTGTTCCTGTTCGTGGCTTCATTCTGGAGTGTAACACCTGAATTTTAATCTGTCAGATTATGACAAATTATATTAAAAATATAAAAGTTTAAAAAAAACTTATTTTAGTTCAGTAAAAAGTCATTTGTATACAAACCAAAGATTTTTCTAGCATTTAAGCGCAATTATTTAGGCCAGAAGGATTTAAGATAGGGATGCACGATATTATCGGACTGATATCGGAATCGGCAGATAATGGCTTTAAATGTAAATATCCGATATGAAAAATTATGCAGATATGTCTTGCAGAGAAGAGGAATATGTTACCTCACATGTACTCAGGGTGTGCTAGCAATTAGATCAAGTCAGCAGTGGCTCATTCTTGAAGCAAAGTTTTGTCTGAATGATGACTAGATTCACTGTTTGGATCGCTGCATTTAATCTGTGAAAGCACGTACAGAATGACTTGTTCGGTGTATGATAGAGTAAACAGTAATAGCACATACAGTGGCAGCAGCGGCAGCCTCCCCCAGGTCCTAATGCCCATTCGGTAAGTAGTTTTAATTCCGTAGGGGGGTGATGTTGGCCTACTTCTAATCAAATTAAAAGTAAAATAGCCTGCACAAATAACATTTAGACTGTGTTTCTGATTAAAAAAAGCAGTAATTGATGTCATAAAATAATGAGTATGTTTTGATTTAAAGGTCAGAAACTAGCCTATAGCTTACATGAAAAAAAAAATCACAAACATGACACTTGTAAATTGAATAATTTTATATATACTGATTTATTCATTAAAATCATAAGCTCTAAAATATTTTCAGAATTTTTACAACTCCTTTTGCTTTTATTTATAGTTATTTTCAAAGCTTCAATGTACTGTCAAAAACCTTTATTATTGTTTATTTAACTATAGCAAATAAGTTCTTGTTAAAAAGTAACCAAAATTAAAAATATTTTTCTTATAATTTCTGCACAGGAGAGACTTGGTGTTGTTTCCAAACAAAAGGAAATATATCGGTATCGATATCGGCCAAAACAAGTTGAAAAATATCGGCATATCGGATATCAGCAGAAATCCAATATCGTGCATCCCTAATTTAAGATCATGAAAAACTCAATAAATCAAAGCTTGTTTAATTGCCAAATAAGTCAAGTAGGACACTGCCCCCAAATCTGGCACAATATCTAACAATACCAAAAGGGAATTCACCATTGTGTCTTGTTGAAGTAAAGTGCTTTTTTGGAGAAGAGGAGAGCAGTGTCCGTAGAGGGGGAAGTGACTTCAGATCAGGTTGTGCAGTGGAGTGTTATCTGAAGGACATCATATTGCTTCTGTTAGGGCCAGTATGAAGGAAAAGACATTCAGGGCTGTGACAGAAAAAAAAATACTTTTTCATTTCTTTGTGCTGTTGTGATTCACCTCTGAGCTGGTTGCTTTGGTTGAAGGGTTGGAGCTTTTTATTGAAGAATTTTCTGAAACTGAAGGAGAAAAAATAGTTCTGGAACCCATAAGGAGTATTTGATCTGTTTGAGGTCACTAGATGCTTTGAGCTGTTGAAAAAAATATATATATTTTGACATATTCTTTGTTTGTCTCTCTTTATCTCCCCTCTAGGATGACTGCTCCTGTCTCAGGTAGGAAGACCCCCGTGGACTATGGCGTACAGATTCGCTTTATAAATGACCTGCAGGACACCGGAGGGGGAGTGAGTGGGCAGCCTCGGAAAGAGGCACCCAAAAAGCTGCCATCTCGCTATGGAGTGGCAGTGAGGGTGCAGG